CATGAGGCCCTGTTGCACTGGGGAGAGGGTTGCTGCAGATCTGAACCCTAACAATAATGCCTCCTGATTCTCCACAAACTGACAGAAGGGGCAAAAAGCAGTACTGTACTTTGAGGTGTTTCACTGTTTTTCAAGCTCAGAGACCACCATAACCCCTGCCCTTCTATCTATGGTTTTCTGGTTCTTGTAAGCCACATGGAGGAGTGTAGGCATGTGGAGGAGGGACTGGAGAAAGGGAAGAAGTTACTCATGAAAATATTCCAATACAGTGATTGGAAAAGTTCTGAGATTTGTATGAGAAAACCAAAAATTCTTATGATTATATTCCATTTGCTTAAAACAATTTTAAAAAATGACATATAGTGCAAAAGACAAAATATATGAAATAATTTCAACAAAGATCTAGAAATGCATCAAAACTATCTCAAAAGAATAAATCTACAAAAGTATTTTTTTTTTGGCAGTGGAAGTTCCTTTCCTTTTAAAATAAAACTGTGAAAATTAGTACATTAAGTCAATGGTAAACATCAATTCAACCATAAACAGTGAGCAGGTTACCTGTAAGGTGTTTTCCCAGAAATCAGTGACAAAGGGTAGCTGGGCAGCTAACGATGGGAAGGTGCAGAATCTCTGCATAGATATGGCCTGATTGCATATCTGTTTCTGTAAGGGACATATTATTCCTTATGGTGAGGAATAAATTGTAGAGAACCTTAACTCTCCCATAATTCCAGTCTCATCAATCCAGTCCCAATATTTATATTTTTAAAAAGTATAAAATGACCTCCCACGCTTCTCTTAAAATTACTTCTTTCACTGATTTTTGCTTTAATCTAAAAATTTCTTTCTAGTGGTTGTCATCACTCATGTCATTCTGAGGTCATCACACCACAGATGGCAGGCAAGGCCTCTTCAATTCTTGCTCTCTAAACTGACATTTTACATTTTCTTCTTTGTTCTATGTGTGCTTCCAAGTTAAGGTTTCATTTTCTTTTAAAATATATGGTTTTTCATATTTCTTTGATATTTCAATTTACTTCTAAACTATATCTTAACTGCTTTATTAGAGGACAATTGATTATGAAGATGCCTGTATTTGGTATGTACAGTTTGATAAGTTTGGCTATGTGGATTTCTGCAAGAGCCTGCACTTAAGCACCTATATCATGTATGATTTCTAATGAACATCTCCATAGAATGCTCACTTTTGCTTCACTACTTCCAGCTCAAATTTTTCTTTCTTTATGATATCTGAGTTCTAAGATTACTGAGTTCCTTTGATTCTGTCTTTCCTATTCTAAATTCAGTCTTCCTGGCTCAGACAGAAGGAAAGAATCAGATAAAGTCCTCCTCAGCGTGGGATTGGTGATTCTTTTACTGACTTTCTTGGTACATGTAATTTATAATCACTTTCAGTTTTCCATCTTCATTCTTCTATTGTCTGTGTCCTCAACTTTCTACAGCCTACTCTTCATACCCAGAAGATATTCACTACAAATATATCTATTTATGCCATTCCCCTATTCTAATAAAGTCTTCCTATCTGGATCATAAAACAAGTAAGACCTACAGGGTCCCTGTGATCAGCCTCCCATCTCTCTCTTCTTACCTCATCTTCATGTCTTTCAGTCTGTTGTACCTCATCCACTGGACCCCAAAAAGACCACCGAGGACCCAACACACCAAAATGCAAAAGCAAAAGTTTATGGTTTATTCGGGCTTAAGCTCGGGCTCTCAGACCTCACCAACTCAATGGATCCATGCTGAGAACCCAGAGTAAGGGAAAGTGGAGGCTTTTATAGGTTTTAGACAAAGAGAGGAGGGGGATACCGAAGATACATTTTGGTTGGTTCAAGGAGCCCGCGGGGCGTGCCAACATAATTTTAAACCGATTGGATGTATAAGATGCAGCCCTAGAAGTTTCTTATTGGTAGGTGCTATTCTCAGGGCTGTGGAATGTGTTGACTGTTATCTGTGGGGCCAGGAGTCTCCGTTTTTACCTTATAGGGCAGTTTTCGTGCCCGGGCTTGCTTAATCTATAGTTTCCTGGAATGGGGGGGGGTAGCAGGCGGAGGTCAGGGCATGCCAGGGCATGTCTAGGCATGTCTAAAGCAGCAGCAAAGCATTTTACAGAAGCTAAAAGAGCAATTAGTGGAGGTCTGGAGGGATTGGGGAGTAGGGGGTGAATGAAGAGGGTCTCAGAGTCCTACAAGTCTACTTGCTACACTGTTTTCCTTCTTTAGTTCCTGCACACACTGACATCAGTCTTACTTCAGAGCCCTGCTAGTAGTTGTTTTCTGCACTATCAAAGATCATACATCATTCATACCTCATTTATTATAATCTCTGAGAGAAATTTTCTCTACTTCCAATTCTATAACTCCTCCTGCCATCAACTTTGTGGAGCTGGTTCTTTCCAATTTTAGGAGGGTTCTGCAGAGCTAACTCAGGTCATTAGGCTCCTCTGCAAGCACTTTGCCCTCTAAGCCATCTCCCAGCTCCTTAACTCTGTTTTTGTTTGAGACATGGTCTCCCTGCAGCCTCAGATAGCCTGAACCTTGCTCATGCAAGACTAGGTTAATATGGATCCCCCAGAGAACTGCTTGCGTCTGCCTCCCGAGTTCTGAGTTCTGGCATTAAACGCATGTGCCACCATGCCCGGCTAGCTCTTCTAATAACTATATTTTTGAATTAGTTCATTAGAGGTTGCTCTAACGTTTACCATCTTAATATATAGAAACCTCCTTTAGCAAGGAAGTGTGGCACATATCTATAATCTCAGCAATTGTAAGACTGGGGCAGGAGGATTGTTGCAAGTTTGGAGACTGCCTCAAAAGAAACTACAAACAAAAAACAAGAAGGAAAGTCCCAAATTACTTGATATTCAAGAACTTAGTTCCAGCGCTGCAGAGAAGCCTTACTTCCACTCAGATTTGATCAATTTTTTAATGCTCTGCTTTTGTTGGTGGATAGAAACCACTGTTCAGTATCTTTCAAATTTATCAGTTTACAGCTTCAGGCTTGGACTCCTCTGTAAACTGTTATGGAAATAATCAGAGATCAACAGCCGAAATCAGGTGAAGAGAGGGAGTTTAATTTGACACGAGCGGGACTGAACCCCTGTTCAAATTTTGGGGTGGGGGTTGTAGTCATGTGGGGAATGCAAGCAAGCAAAAGGTACACAGCATATACATGGTAATTAAGTATGATAACAGAGGGTGGCAAAGGTAATAGAAATGCAAAAGCCTTATAGAGAAATGTGATAGCTTTGGAAAACAAAGACTCTTATCCTGGATAACCATAGGAGGCAGGGGAAGATTCCTGTTTACTCCCTCATTCCAGGAGTTCTTAATTACCATTGCAATGCAAAATCCTTTGGCATCTGATAAGTTCTACTTCCATAATAAAACATTTGATAAAATGGGTATTCTTTGATGGGACTTCCTTATTTTCCAATGTTTCACGTGGATGCCTGGGATATCAAGGCAACTTTTAGAAGCAAGCAGATAAACCATGTAGAGCTGGAGCCCTAATGCTATGTGTTTTTCCTCAAAATCTGTTATTTTTATGGTCCATCTCCATCCCACTGTCAATCATTTGGAACCTGAGGGCTCTTGTTGTACGTTTACAGCCCATTCCTCAGCAAGGGGCTCAAAAAATAGCCGCACACAGAAATTTAAGCCTTGTGTTCATATGTATCTTCCTCTTTCTGAAGTGCTACCACACAGAGCAGATCTCTGGCCTCTCAGCTTACCCAGGCTGCTGTGTTTTCTTCACTCTCACATACACTGTGGAGATTTTCCTAAGGCATACAAGTCGATGCTGGCTAAACTCACGGATTTCTCATTTCTCAGCAGTCGCAAACATGCAGTCTAATACTGTATTGTGTGAAACACTTTCCTCATATCCACATTTTTAGATTTTTGGTGGCAGAGGTTTTATTAAGAAAATTTGACTTTCTTAGTTGCTGAGTTTGAAGATTTTCTATATCTGATAATGAATCTAGATGTGCTCAAATGACCACTAGGAAATATTTATTTAGTGCTTACTTCAATTTCAGGTAGATTAAGCACTGCCTTCTGGTTGTGTCATTTCTGTCCAAACACCCTGAGCCTTAAAGATGGTAAGTTTCAAGTAAAGAATTTGCTCTTGGAGGAAAGACACTCCCAAAAGATATAGTTTCTTTCATGCACAAGCTATATAAGTCCTTGTGCACACAGAGTCCCATGAAGTGGCAGATTATGGGAAAATCTGCTCTCCCCAATACCAAAACTCTGTATCCGTACAAAGGCCGACATCTATCCAAATGTGTTTGCTAAGCTTCTTTGATGCTTCTGTTTTTTGTGAGATTTCTTCCAGAGGTCTCAGAGGAAATCAGTTGCCTTCTGCTACTGTAGAGCTGGATCCCAGTTAAAGACTATTCCATGCCTTGACCTATTCCAAAGAAATATTCCATGGATGATTTTAAGAAACCAGCACGAATCTAATGGATTTCCTACTGTTAGGGTTCCGAACAGCAGCAGCTTCCCCCCTCCCCAACAGGGACCTATAGACTTTGGAGCCCGAAAAAGGGAACTTAGCTGATAAGCACCTTGACCTTTGAGGTCAAGAAGAACAAACTCTGCTGAGAAGCAGCCTGCCTTTCCTCTGACCTCCAAAGATAAGATAAGCAAATTTCCTCTTATCTTAAGAGGGAAAAAGTAAACACTTCCAGACCCTAATCCTACCTGCTTTTCCTGCTTCCCCCTCCCTGATTTCTCCGCCAAACATTGCCCCCTTCCACACCCTAAAGCCCCCATATATAAAGTCCCAGCTCACAACCCGTGAGCTGACATCTTTCCCTTCCCCGAGGGAAAGGTTCCCCATGCAAAATAAATCTGTATCCCGCTGAGAATTCCATCTGTGCCTCAGTGCCTCCTCCATCCATCCGCTCGCTCTCTCCCGCTCTCTACCTATCACCTACAAGGAAATGAAAAGCCTTATGGCCCAGTAGACAGAGTGTGATGATCAGGACATAAGCACAACAAAAATTAGAATGACACAGAAAAGATTAGCATGGCCACTGTTTAAGGACAACAAGAAAATTCAAAAAGCTTTCCATATTTTTCAATGTAAAGGACTGAAGAAAGGAATAACCATATCCAAGAGGTTACAGAAAGAAAAGAAATGAAGGTATAATTGCAGAAACACAAAGTAGGACTAAAAACACAAATGGGAGATAAAATGACAGTAACCAATACACATCTTTCAACAATAACTTTAAATACCAATTGTCTCAACCAATATCCCAGTCAAAAGCCACAGACTAGTTGGATAGATTAAGAAACAAAATCCATCTTTTTGTTGTCTACAAGAAACTTAACTTACCTTCAAGAAGAGACACAATCTTAAGGTGAAAGAATGGAAAAAAAATTCCAAGAGACTGACACTAAGAAACAAGCAGGTGTTACAATACTAATATCTGAAAAAATAGACTTCAAACCAAAATTAATCAGAAGAGATAAAGATCACCTCATTCTAATCCTGGGAACTGTTAGGGTTCAGATTTACAACAACCCCCTCCCCAAAGCGACAGGGCCTCATGGTTTTGCAAGCCTTCTGGCTGTTCCCTCCTGATAAAACCTGGGCTCTCTTCCCACCTAACTTGTTTTTTTAAAAATAAATATTTTTCCCACCTTCTGCATTCCCCAACCCCCTATAAAAACCCCTAGCCAAGAGCCTGTAAACTGCCACCCCCTCTATCCCAAAAGGGGGAACTATCTCGTGCATTTTCCCTGCCAATAAACTCTATCTCGCTGGAGTTCTTGTCTGTGTCCTGGTGCTTTCTCCTGATTTGGATCCCGATTTTTACCCATCAGGAACTATCAACCAAGAAGACATTACAATAATGAACCAAACCATGTTGCATCCAATTTCATTAAAAAAATGTGCTACTCAAATTCAAGACCCAGATTGACCCCAACTTGCTAATAGTAGGTGATTATAATACCCCACTTTCTCCAATAGACAAGTCATCTGGACAAAGAATAAACAGAGAAACATTTGAATCAAAGGATATCATACATCAAATAGCCTTAATAGATATCTATAGAGTATTCCACCCAAGCACCAAAGAACACAAATTCTACTCAGGAGCCCATGAAAGTTTCTCTAAAAGAAACCATATACCAAGGCACAAAACATACATAATATTTTTTTTTAAAAGAGAAAGAATTCCACGAATCCAAAGAATGAATTCAAAAGCTGATTCTTTGAAAAGATAAACAAGATATAGCAGGAGCCCAGCTAAGTAAAAGAAACAAAGAGCAAATGCAAATCAACAAAATCAGAGAGGAAAAGGGAAACATCACAACAGATGCCAAAGGATTCAGAACATTATAGGAGAATACTTTTAAAACCTATAATCTATTAAATTAGAAAACCTAAAGTAATTGGACTAATTTCTAAACTCAATGAAACCACCAAAGTTAAAACAAAAAGAGATCAGAAATAAGGAAGTAGAAACAGTAATACAAATTCTCCTAACTAACAAAAGCCCAGGCCCAGTTGGATTCATAGTGGAATTTTAGCAGACTTTCAAAGAAGGTCTACAACCAACATTTCTTAAATTATTAAAAAAGATAGAAACAGAGGGAGAACTTCCAAACTCCTCTCTGAAGCCACTTTTACACTATTATCAAAAGCAGGTAAAACACAAGAACAAAAAAGAAAACTATAGGCCCATATCCCTAATAAATATAGATGCAAATATTCTCAACAAAATAAAAATCACATACCAAAACATGTCAAAATGATCATCTACCATGATCAAGTCACCTTTATTCTGATATGCAGGGATGATTCAATATATATGTCAATAAACATAATAAATCATACAAATAGGCTTAAAGATAAAAATCACATGATCATCTCAATAGATGTAGAGAAAGGTCTTTGATAAAATCCAGCATGCATTCATGATAAAAGTCCTAGAGGGATTAGGCTGGAGGGAACACAACTCAACATAATTAAGACTATATACAACAAACCATAGCCAACATCATCTTAAATTGAGAAAAACTGGAAGCATTCCATTAAAATCAGTAACCAGACAAGGCTGTCAATTATCCCTACTCCTTTTCAATATAGTGCTTGAAACTCTAGCTGGAGCAATAAGACAAGAGAAATAAATTAAAGGGATGCTAATTGATAAAGAACAGGTCAGAGAATCCTTATTTGTAGGTGATATGATACCATATATGAGTTTGCAAAAATTGCACCAGAAAATTTCTAGAAATGAATTACTCTTTCAACAAAGTGGCAAGATACAAAACCAATTTACAAACATGACTAACATTTCTTTATGCCAATAACAAACTCTAAGAGAAGGAGATCAAGGAAACTTTTCCATTCCCAATGTCCTAAAAAAAAAACAAAAAAACCTAGGAATCAACCTGATCAAAAACGTTAATGATCTTTATAATAAAGACTTTGAATCCTTAAAGAAAGAGATTGAAGAAGATGCAAGGAGATGAAAAGACCTCCTTGCTCATGGATTAGTAGAATTAATATTATGAAATACCCATCCTACCAAAAGTAATTTATAGATATAATACAACCCCAATTAAAATTCCAATGATGGGGGATGGAGAGATGGCTCAGCAGTTAAGAGCACTGGCTGCTCTTGCAGAGGACCCAGGTTTGAATTCCAGAAACCACATTGTGGTTAACAACCATCTGAAACTCCAGTTCCAGTGGTCCAATGCCATTTTCTGTCCTCTGCAGGCACTGCATGGCATAGGTCCACTCACATACATGCGAGCATGACACTCATACAAATAAAATAAAAGAAATCCCAATGACATTCTTCACAGAATTAGAAAAAATATCCTAAAATTCACATGGAATTGCAAAAGACCCCAGGCAGCCAAAATAATTCACAGCACAAAGACCATTCCTGGAGGAATTACCATATTCAAACCATGTTTTTGTCTTTAAGCCCATTTGTATGATTTATTATGATTATTGACTTATATATATTGAATCATCCTTGCATCTCAGGAATAAAGTTGACTTGATCATGGTAGATGATTACCAGATTTGAAACCATGTTACAGATCTAAAGTCATAAAAACAGCATGACATTGTCACAAAACAGATATGTAGATCAATTTTAAAAAAAGAAATAGAAGGCTCAAACTTGAATCCATGCAGTTTCATTTGATATATTAGAAAATGGCTAAAAATACACATTGGAGGAAAGATGGCATCTTCAGTAAATGGGAAAACTGGATTTCTACATGTAGAAGAATGAAATTAAACCCCTATCTATCACCCTGCACAAAATTCAACTCCAAATGGATCAAGGGCCTTAATGTGAAACTTGAAATGTTGAAACTAAAACATAGGTGCAGGAAAGCACATCTACATTGGACTTCATTTACTCAGAATTTAAGGTCAATAATTGGCAAATAGGATCTCATTGAACTAAAAAGCTTCTGTTGAACAAAGGAAACAACCAATCAGGTGAAGATGATGACCACAGAGGGGAAGAAAATCTGTACCAGCTACACCTCTGACAGGGGATTAATGTGCAGAATTTTTAAAAAGTCAGAAAACAAAGAATCAAGAACACCATTGACTCAGTTTAAAAAAGGGCTATGGATCTGAACAGAAGGCTCTGCAAAGAAGAAATAAAAATGGCTACAAAATACTTTAAAAGTTGTTTAACATCCTTAGTAATTAGGGAAATGCAAATTAAAAAAAATGTTTTAAGATTTCATCTCATCCCAACAGAATAGCTAAGATCAAGAGAACAAAAAAAAAAAAAAACAACCAAAAAAACAACAAATTCTGGTGAGGATATGAGAAAAGAGGATCCTTCATTTACAGCTGATAGGATTGCAAATGGTACAACAACCATCTTCTAAAAGACTGTGGAGAACGCTAAAAAAATACAAATAAATCTGCCATATGATCCAGTTAATACCAATCCCTGGCATACACCCAAAGGACTCCCTATCCTACTACTTGCTCAGCCATGTTTGTTGGTGCTCTTTTCAAGGTAGTGAGACATGCAAATAACTTAAATGCCCCATAAGTAATGAATGGGCAACGAAAATGTGGCACATTTACACAATGTACGCAGTTTACTCAGCCTAAAGAAAGTTGAAATTACTAGAAATTGTTATACCGAGTGAAGTAACAGACTCAGAAAAGCAAACATCTTGGTATCTTTCATTTGTGGATTCTAGCTCTAAATTCTTAGATCCTGATGTCATCCCAAGAGCCAGGAAAATAGACAAGAAGAAGGATCTCAGTGGTGGTGATAGCAGGAGATGTGCTACAATGGGAGAAATGGAGAAAATGGAATATACGTTTTCTGGGGAGGGACTGAAGAGGCCTATTCAGGGGAAGAGGGGAGACACAGACTTAGGTGAAAAGCCGCCTATTAAATGTATTAGTGCATGTGAATAGCTGAATGCTACACTGCAAAAAGACAGTGCCAGGCAGGGCAAGCCTGCCTTCAAGTTGTTGATCAGGATCAGGGTAGTCCTAGAGACTCTCCAAGAAACACAGGCTCTTGCCACAACCCTTCATTGCTTCCCAGAACTTGGAAGTAAGCCCCTATTGCTCAAGACAGGCTATATTTCAAATACTGAACTTGGAGTTGTAGAGTTGGAACTAATTGGGAAGCTTCCTCCCTCAAACTGCAAAAAGGAGAAAGCCAATCAATGATCCCAAGCAGTTGTAAAGTCTATGAACCACAATAATGACCAGCCCAGCCAATAATTTCTACTGATATTAATAAGAAACTCTGCTTAACTTTGGGGTAATCAATACCTGTCTAATTGGACTTCAGACCCATTCAAGGGGAGTGAAGACATGTGATTGTGTAAACATAGCCAAATACACATGGCTGGAGAGGTCATATATCCTAGAATAAAACCTAATTCCTTCACATTCCTAGACTGACATAATTTATTGTATTATTATATGTATCTTTATATTTATAAGCAGGTGTATCTCTTACCACACATCAAAGAAGCTTCTCTTGCAACAGATGGAGACTATTATAGTGTTACACAACTGGTCAAACTGAAAGAATTCTATGTGCAGTGTCTAGCT